AGCATATGCAACGATGCGGAATGGGGTCTTTTTTTATGAAGGTTCTCGATTAAATCTTCTCCTGTAGAACTCTTGACAGAAATGCCATATCAGACTGTTTTAAACTGACCAAGTGCAATAAACATGAATTCAAACAAATTAACATTTGATTTAATTCTTTTCGTAAATTACCATGCACTTTTATGCAAACAGTAACTGTGTTTGGAAAGATTCCCCTGGCACTGATGCAGGTATTGTTTCTCTGCAAAAGTCAATAACAAACCTATTCTACGGCGCTCATGTTTTAAAAGCTCCATTATCTGGACTTGTTTAATGGAATGTTACCTTTTCATTTTAACAGATTAAGAATTAGCAGAAAGCTAGACAATGTTTGGCAGAAGAAATGAAACTCATGAAACTCGAAGTTGAGAGATTAAAAAATGTAAGTACTATCTACACCATTGTCTTACGTCCTCCAATAATTATAAATTAGCGTTGTATCCCAATAAGCAAAATAATTTCCTTTTCAGGCCTCGGCTTTCATATCATACTTTGTATGATTGTATGAAGGGTTGCTTGGGCGACAGCTGCTCCTGGAAATATACAGCAGTTTAAGTACTTCATGTTACTATTAGAACTAGGTAAACTAAAATTCCAATCCAGCAAGCAAGTGGAAAAGATGCTCCCTAGCCGGATACAACAGTCTATGATAGATGAAGCGTTTTACTAGATAAATTGGGTTTCCAACCCAGCAAGCAAGGGAGACACAGCTCCCTGCACTTAAAGTATACTACAGAATAGATAAAACCTACCATGAAAACTAGATAAACTGGGATTCCAACCTAGCAAGCAAGGGAGACAGCGGGTTCCTGGACTGATACTTCAGTCAGTGATATATGGGAACTTACTATTAAGACTAGATAACCTGGGATTCCACCTGAGCAAGCAAAGCAGACAGGAGCTCCCTAGATTGATACTTCAGTCTATGATAGATGGAACGTGCTATTAAAAGTAGATAAACTGGGATTCCAACCCAGCAAGCAAGGGAGACAGGAGCTAGCTGGACTGATACTTCAGTCTATGATGGATGGAACTTACTATTAAAAGTAGATAAACTGGGATTCCAACCCAGCAAGCAAGGGAGACAGGAGCTCCCCGGACTGATACTTCAGACAATGATTATTAAAACTAGATAAAGTGGGATTCCAACCTAGTAAGCAAGGGAGACAGAAGCTCCCTGGACCGATACGTCATTCAGTGATAGATGGATTTTACGATTAAAACTAGAGAACCTGGAATTTCATTCCAGCAAGCAAGGGAGACAGGAGCTCCCTGAACTGATACGTCATTCAGTGATAGATGGATTTTACGATTAAAACTAGATAACCTGGAATTTCAACCCAGCAAGCAAGGGAGACGGGAGTTCCTGGGCTGATACTTCAGTCAATGATAGATGGAATGTACTATTAAAACTAGATAAACTGGGATTGCAACCCAGCAAACAAGGGAGACAGGAGGTTTCTGGACTGATACTTCAGTCTATGATAGATGGAACTTACTATTAAAACTAGAAAACCTGGGAATCCAACCCAGCAGGCAAGGGAGACAGGAGCTCCCTGAACTGATACTGAAGTGAATTACTTCTTCACCTCTAATAATAGTATTGGACTTTTGGAGAGCAGCAATTCTTTCAATAAAGTAAAAACACAAACTGCTTTTAGTACTAAAATACTAAAAGGGGATTCTAAAAAAAAACTGAGGTGGCCTGTTGCTGCCAATACAGTGACCTCAAGCCAGGTGGAGGGTTTCGTGTGTTCCACAGGGTGCTTGTCTACTTATGCGCGGAGAGTGGTGTTGAGCCATCAGTTACACCGAGGTCTGGGTGGTCGCCTCTGACCGACAGGTGATGTATTGGGCGCCTATGAGAAAACGGCCGTTGCACTCAAGTGCTTGTCAACTCATTCTGCAGTGGGCCAGAGCTTTACGAGTGATACTGCACAGGCTGTAGCGGTGTACCGCTCATCGGGTCATGCAATATCTCAGCTTCTGTCACGAAACAAATCTGTTGTAAGCGCTCATGCCCAGGTGGCCCGGTTTGGACACAAGCGGAGGTCACAGTCATTCTTGTGGCATTGCACTCAAGCGCTTATTGACCTATATCGATACTGCACAGGCCATGGGAGTGTACGCTTTTCATTTTTTTGTTTGTTTGTTTATTTTTTTTAATAATAAAATTTTTGGATTATTTTGGGTTTAATTTTGGGTTTTCTGTGAAAGAGTTGTTGCCCTGAGACGATTGTAACTGATATTCTAAGTAATATGCACTTGCGTCAACTGGGATCCAACCCAGCAAATATGGGAGACAGGTGCTCCCTATGAACCATTACAAGGATGTGGTTAGGTCAACTGGGATTATCTGGGATAACTCGGTCTACGATAGATGGAACTTACTATTAAAACTAGATAACTGGGACTCTACACCCAGCAATCAAGGGAGACAGGAGCTCCCTGGACTGAATAATTCCGCATCAAATAGTTTCAATATTAGTTTAGATGATGTCTGCTACATGGTAACATTTTCTTACCGTTTATTTGTTTTGCTTGAGCATATTTATTTTCTAGATTGAATCGGTATCCGAAAAAAAACCTTGCGATGAAATTGAGTCGCCGACTTCATTCACTGACAAGGAAAACGTCTTTTAAACTTGAGGTAGTTTGTACTGTCATAACGGTTTGTTACTAGAAATTAATCCCCGAGTTTCTCAGTAACTTGCATATCAAGCACTGATTCCAGCTATGGAGATAGGATTGATATACTTATCCTTTATTTGCCGACGATAACATCTAGAATAAGAGCATAACGTAGTACTTTATATGTTGTCGTCTGCTATAGTCAGAGGATGGAGAACTTAAAATAAGTAAGCAACAGAAGTGAACTCATTTGCCCCTGTTGCAAAACAAGAGCCACAAATAAAAACGTTTCTTATGGCGCTTACGGGTAAACCCCAAAATGGTGGTAGCTGTTTCTCGAGTACCTGTATTTTCTTTTATTTTTTAGATGCTTTATTTTGTTAACGAGTTGTTGCTTTGGCCATTATCTTTGTTGAGATTAGGTTTGTTCCCAACTGCACTTGTTCATCATCTGACGAAATTCGTGTTATTGATGTGAGAATATCAACACTGTTAGGTATGTGATTTCCCTGAGTAACAATTATCATATTACTAGCCCTTGTTACAAGCATTTTCGAGCAAGGGACTTTCCGAGGTATTTTATCATAGTTTTGTAATAAACGACCATCGCAAAAAAACAACAGCAAATTGCAAATAAAACCAGGACTCAAATTTCTTCATCACTGACCTACAGTGTACTAATTAGCGTTGCACTTTCATCTGCGTTAGGAGTTGTTTGCACCGACGGTTGGATTCCCCTCAGGAAAAGTGCCTATGACTTTCGACACAATTACAGTGAAGCGTATCATCCCGAAGATGTATCGATCAAGATGAAAGATTTTAGGAACTTAATCTAATAATGTTTCCAAAAGTATATAAACTGAATAAAAACTTTGTATAATTATGCTTGAGTAGCAGTCATTTACAAAGAAGGAATTTCCTTCTTACTAAAATGACTGCTACCAAGCAAAAACAGCCTTTTTATTTTGTTTCGAAGTTTTTCGTTTCTAAAGATAGGCGCGTTTCAATACTTTTGAAGCCGATCCGTGAAATATCAAATATGATGGCCGGACTCTTCGGGGCACTATTGGTAACTTTCGACTATTATATTATCAGCTTCTTCCGCTTCCGGAACGGTTCGTGTTTACTTTACACATTAATACGACCCCACGCTATCGAAAACGCTTATAATGTCTTTGCCAAATGGCGCCTACTGTACCGAACAATCTTGTCATTTTTCGGCGCTACTTTCGGTATCTTTTCTTTCTAGAGTGCTGTAGTCAGCGTTTACTTGCATTGCATTCAAAATAAACTTTTAGGAGCTTTAACATAGCCGGATAGCCTCATAACTTCCCTTTCAATATGCATCGTCTTAATTTTGGAAATCTTGAATCAGTATCAATTCATCCTGAAATTATTATGTATATGTAACTTTCGATCGCACGCGTTCGTAAACTTGCGAACTCGCATCAACAACTTCGTAAACTCTACAAAAACGTTACCCAGTCTCACTCGTCATCTTTCATTCCTCTATGTTATCGACTGTCTTATCGGTTACTTCACTTCGGCTTCAATGTAATCATCGCGAAATCATTTAGATTATTTTAGTGACAATTACAGGTGCAAAATATTCCTTAATATATTTAGAAAGACTTGCATACCTAACAGAACACATGCAAACTTTATAAAGAGCACGCAAACTTAATAAAATGTGCGAAAACTTGATCAAGTGTACGTAAATCTCACAAAACGTACGCAGGCTTAACAAATCACCGGCAAACTAAAAAAAAATGAGTGCAAAGTTAGTACATGTCAAAACTAACAAACTTAATAAAATGCGCCAGACTTAATAAAATACTTCCAAGCGTTATAAAGTCATGGCAAAAAAAATGAAATGAAAAAGTTACGAACTCAGTGACATTAAGGTAAAATTATGCTGGCCGATATGGACACTGGACACAAATAATAGATGGCAAAACGTGCACAAACTTAACAAAATGCATCCAAACCTAATTAAGAGTATGCAAACTTAAAAGAGCACATGCAAACCTTATAAAGAGCATACAAGCTAAATAGTACGAGGGGAAACTTTTAAAGAATATGCAAACTTAAAGTGCTACTACGACGAAAATTTTTGTTTTTGTTTCCGAGTTTTTTAACATAAATCTTTTGTATATGTTCAAAATTATACAAATAGCGAAAAATTGGAACGATACTTGCGTATGGGGGCTGGAAATTTCCCACTGAAAAGTGCGTAAATACCGTCCGCCATTACAAAGTTCGCAAAACAATAGCCCGCGAGATCTCCGCAAAGCGGTCGTGCGTTTGACCACGTGATTTATGCACTGTGACGTAGAAACATCAACCAAAACATTCGCATTTGGGAAAAGTTTGTGAGTTTGGAGCCTTTTAACAAGACGTTTAAGATGTCATCTCCGTCGGATTCCTCTTCCTGCACATCTGAAAGTGATCTACAAAGTTTTACAGTTGACGAAGTGATTGGGGAATTGTCTGAATTTGCGCCGAACGACGACAGTTGCGAACCCCTTGCTACCGAGGAAGAAGCCGCGGACTACAACGAAAGAGTTCATCGCGAAGAAGAAGAGGAACAACAGTTTCAACGAAGATATTCGGGAGAGGTGCCAGCGAATGAATGGTATGGTATTATCATGGAATGTAGATTTATATTTTTATTTTCCAATTTCAACATACCCGTCGTTAAATCGTGCGCGTGACGAACGCGACTATGTGTTTTGTTTAAATTTACAATTTCGTTGCTATGTGATTAGCTGTAGTCCTGATTTTATGCGATAGTTTTATTGAAGACGTCAGACAATAATTTTATACAGACGTATTTTTCTTGTGTTTGACGAATTTTTCACATTATTTTGCAGGTGTTCGTGCTCGAACTGCTCTGTCAGCCTTGTTACAAAAGGGCAGGGGTGCTTACCATTTGACAGAAAAATCCGGTTGAGCGGTCGAAAGCATAATGGTAAGCGATTTCCCATTTTAACCTAGAAATGTCACATTCCTTACGGTTTGAATCCAAAAAAGGGCGAATTTGTGTAGCGTGAGTCTGGAACCGAGAAGGAACCGAGAAATTAGTTAATGGTAAGCAACATTTCGTTTGGTTCGTACCAACCGGAATGAAAGGACTACCTCAAAACGTACTCCTCAATTTTCGGTTGGAATTTCCGAAACGTGGTCTTACCATTTACCTTCCATCCGGAATTTCCGAAATTTTTTTTTCAAATGGTAAGCACCCCCCCAGGAGTGCATTTGCTGCAAAGAGATCGATCGCTTCGAAGAGGTCATGGAAGAAGCCATTGGAGACCGGACCGTATGCATAACCCTCCATCCAGGGTTTGAAAGCGTCTGCTTAAACCGCCACGTATTAGAAGTGGCTGCACTGGGCCTAAAAACGCGAGCTGGAAAGTCGTACACAACTGTTCGTGGGCAAAGCAACAAAAGTGATGATGAGTAAGTTGGGGTATTGTTGACTTTGTACCGGAACGATCGAACCTTACATAGCATTGAATAATAAATTGATACATCTAAGCTTATCGCCGTGGACTGATCTCATAGAATCACATTTTTTATTTTCTAAATGGCTTTATTGCCCCAACTGCTTATTTTTAAAAAGAGTATTTATTTATCTCCATCCAATCCCTCCTTGAATTAACAGTGATCTCATTTCTCTAACTAGATTCCTGAGGTCTGTGGCCTATCGCCAATTTACAAGACTGCTGTGGAGTTATATTGGTAGTTCCAGGCGATACCCCTTGCCCTGTTGTGCCTACAATAAAATCAGGAAACAATTTCCGAGTCAAAATGGCCATTATCGTGGATTCGAAGATGAAGAAAATGAATAATAAATGCACTGTTTGTTCTTGAAGAGTGTCATGTATGCCATTGGGGCCAAGAAGGACCTACAGTAGTTGCTTGAATACTTGTCCGTAAGCACTTAATTTTATGGGCCAAACTTCAGAATTCTCAGCCACTTACTCGCTTTTTGTTGAATGACAAACTTGCCCACTGTGTGAAGCCCTGTTCTTCTAGCGTTCAGTTAAACTCAAGTTTAGTGGCTGGGAATTCTGATGTTGCTCCAATTTTCATGTACACAAGTAATAAAAATTAAATCGAATTCAGCCTGAATTTAATTACAGTTTTAATGTATCGTTTCTTTCTTTTCACTCGGCTCACAGAGCACTGCAAAACTTAATAGCAGGTTACCTGCTGGAAACTTTCCTAGCAGGTCTGGTTGACTCTTCCAGACTTTTGTCTGGCTACAGTTTCTGCAGAAACTTTCTACGGTTAACAAGGTACCTGTCTGTGATACAGAAAGTTTGGGTTTTGAAAAGAAGCACAAGTGGCAGAACTGAAACAAAAGAAGAAGTTTGGAAAGGAAAACAATTCCCTTCGGTTCCTCTCGAATGTTTTTTCCTTGTAGATCCAACCTGTAAAAAATGATTGAAAGGAAATACTCATTTAATCATAGCATCTGAAATAATAAAATAACAATAAAAAAATGATTATCATTTTTATTGTTTTTCTCAGGGTGTTGCCAGTTTTTCAACTTGTTGTAAACCTGGCTAATTGTGGGTTGGGATTTTATTCTCACATACATCCTGAAAAATGCTTTTTTATAATAATTCTGTTGATTGCACACATGACAACTTTGAGCCCTTAAGCTATCTAGCCCACCCCAACGATGCATAATTTATTACAAGTGGTTGAGTGGACAAACCAAACATTTTTAGGCCTGGGACTTCCAGTCTATGGGCTGGCTATGCCTCTTCTTTTTTTTTTTTTTTTTTGCAATTCTTATCTGAGTAAATTAAAAAACAAATTTCATGTACTCTTGTTTCTAAATAGATCCTCTCATACTGGAAGTTAGTTTTAGGCCTAAATCACTTCCCAGAGGATACTTAGAGCTAAGATGTTAAAATGCAATAAATTTTGCATCTTTGTACCTTGGGTTCTGATGAGTCTTCACCGAGTCATCATCTTCCTTTAGTTTTTTATATGCATCTTCGATTTCTTCAGGACTCCATGTAGGGTCTTCATCACACTCAAACTCCTCATACGCGTCGTCCTGCATTTCCTGCTCATCTTCTGATTCATCCTCTAGCCCTAACTCTGTCTCATTTGTTACTGGCCATGGATCAGTTTGAATAGCTTAAACAAATGGAATTAAAAAAATTCTATCACCATTAAAATTTTAATTATTATTAAATAATCAAATATTGATAAAATATAATAAAAATATAAAGATAGGCAGTTATGCCTATATGACTCATCAACATCAATTATTGTTGACTCACCAGCATTCACCATCAGCAACTGCTTCGGCTCTTGTATGCTCTTAAAGGTTTCAACCCACTGATCTTGATTGGAGATTAACTTACTCTTCAGTCTTGTGACTTTGCCCCTTAACTGAGTCACCTCACTCCTCAGGGTTTTGCATGTTGTGCAATTCCCAGCATGTCCAGTTGGAGTATCCTACAAAAAACAAACTTTCAACATTAATACAGGCTGTAATAACAAGACTTTAGAATTTTTGTGTTTTAGTATTGTTGTAAAATAACTGCACATGTAGTTTTCCATTGTTATGATAATACAAAGATGCAAATAAACATTAATTAGAGTTATGCGCCTACCATAGAAACCTGTTCAAGTTCAGGAATCGTTAATGATTCATCAATCTGCATAACTTCATCCATATCCTGCACTTTTTCGATTCCCTGAGCCTCCAGGATCTGCATGGTCTCAGTAACCTCATCAGTGCCTGAAATCCCTTGGCTCTCGAGAGCTGTCTTATCACCAGGAGTACCTAGGACCTCTGAAGCCATCTCAGCATCAACACTTATCTCACCCGTCTCAGTCTCAGGGATGCAGCCCTCCTTTTCAGGATTTACCTCAAGCAAAGAACCCTGACTTGTATTCAGAACACCCTCGACTTCTGGAGACTCCTCAGGGTTGAGATTGGGAGCCCCCATAGTGTCAGCACTCTCCTCAGGTGCAGAACTTCCTTTCAAAGAGATCACCTCTTCTTCAGGATTGTCTTCTTCCTCTCTATCCTCATTAGTAGTTTGACCAGCCAGAATTTCATTTAGTAGCTAAAAATGAAAATAGGTACGACCATTTTTTATATCTCCCCTTCAAAACAAGTTTAAATTTGAGCTTTATGTCGATGTTTTCAAAACTAGAAATGGAGTCAAGGTTTAACCACATGTATGCATCATTTGCAGACAGTGAAAATAGAATTAAAATACAAACGAAAAAAAAAACCCGCAAACAGTAACTGAACTTAAAGAATGTAGAAATCAGACTAAGTCCATTTTTGGTCGTGTTTAAAGACTCGCGTGTAACTCTTAATTTGCTGTAAGATTTCTTGGAGGGAAGTTTGGAGTATTGTCAAATGTCAAAGTAACAGCCAAATAATCTCTCAAAAAATAGAGAGCCGGATTTCTATGTAGCTTCACTTTTTCTAAATTTTACGCTTGAGTGGAAAGGTCTGGGAATTGGGGAATTGACTTCACGTCCACTCAGCGCAAATGCCCGTTTTACTATAACTACGAGAAGAAAGCAGAAAAGTATGAAAACACATGCAACAATATGGGAAGTCCAAATAGTCAGAGCATTCATTACACGAATATTGAACAACGATGCCAGAAAAAATCATGTCACAGGTAAATGGGGAAATAAATATAATGGTGGTAAGCACAGCGCAAATACATTGTAATTTCACTCACCGATCGTCGACTCCGCTTTGATAGTGTTTGAGAGGATTTTTTCCAAATGGTTGAAAACGTCCCCTTCTTCAAATTCCTTTTCATGTCTTTCATCGGAAAAGCAAGCGTAAAACAATCCCTTGTACAATGCTCCGATCACACAGCAAATTTTCCCACTGGGTTGAACTCCTTCCGATGAATGGACACGAACCTTTTCCACTTTAATCTAACGCTGCCCGAATCAGGAGAATTATGAATAGAAATCCCCAATTCATCGTTCGTTACGTTTCCACAGTCCTGAACAACACAACGTCTACCAGGCATACTTTCGCTTTAAGTCAAAAAAGCGAAGAAAGAACCTCCAAAAGCTTCCAAAAATATCTCGTCCTGCATGCGAAATTAGCCACGTTTGTTTGCCTTTGTTTGCCGCGTTGATGTTTCTACGTCACATCTCGCCCCAACTCCTTCAAATACTACTCCCGGTCATTTTTTGAATCGAGTAATGGCGGCAAGACATTTACGAAAATTGCCATGCAAATAAACACACTTCTAGATCATATCTGGACTGCAAACTTGGCACGGTAAGTCACTTTTACATACATTTTCGAAATATGTAATCAAAAACAAATTCCCAAATTTGATCGTAGTAGCACTTTCACAGAACACATAATTTCCAACATAATAAATAGCATGCAAATGAACTTAACAGAGCACATGCAAACTTAATAAATAGCATGCATACTTAATATTACGCGTGCAAATTTATCAAGAACATGCAAAATTAACATAATACATGCAAACTTTATCAACAGCATGCAAACTAACAGAACACATGCAAACTTAAATAAGAGCATGCATACTTAATAATACGCGTGCAAACTTACTATAGCCCAGAAAGCATGCAAACTTAACAGAACACATGCAAG